TGTGGGTCATTTTTGAGGAAACTTCATACTGCTTTCCACAGTGGCTGCACCAGTCTGCATTCCCATCAACTGCATGAGGATTCCCTTTTTTCCACATCCTCACCTACACTTATTTTTGACTTATTGATGATAGCCATTCTGACAGGTGTGAGATGATATGTCATTATCGGTTTTTTAAAATTATTTTTTATTTTAAATTTTATTGGGGTGACATTAGTCTACATGAACATATAGGTTACATGAGTGGATTACTAATTTACAAAATCTGTATATAGGACCTTGTGCTCACCATCCAAAGTCAAATCTTTTCCTGTCACCTCATATTAGGACCCCTTTCTTCCCCTACCCTTCTCCCTCTGGCAACCACCACACTGCTGTTTGTGTTCATAAGTTTTAGTTTTTATATTCCACATGAGTTAAATCATATAGTCCTTAGCTTTCTCTGTTTGACTTATTCCACTTAGCATAATCTTCTTAAGGTCCATCCATGTTATAAATTGCGCTATTTCATCCTTTCTTATAGCCGTGCAGTATTCCATTGTGTACATAGACCACATTTTCTTTATCCAGTCCTCTATCATATGGGACTTTGGCTGTTTCCGTTGGCCACTGTGAATAATGCTAGAAAGAGCATAGAGGTACATATGTCTTTGTGTATAAATTATTTCTAATCCCAGGAGTGGGATTGTTGGGTCGTATGGTAGCTCTATTTTTAATTTTTTTAGGAATTGCCAGACTGCTTTTTATAGTGATTGTACCAGTCTACATTCCCACCAGCATTCAATGAGGGGTCCCTTTTACCACAACTTCTCCAACACTTGTTGCTTGTCTAACTGGTGTAAGGTGGTAACTCATTGTAGTTTTAATTTACATTTCCCTGATTGCCATTGAGGTTGAACATCTTTTCATATATCTATTGGCTGTTTGTATGTCTTCTTGGGAGAGGTGTATTTTCAGGTCTTCTGCCCACTGTTTGATTGGATTGTTTGTTTGGTGTTGAGTTTTATGAGTTCTTTATATATTTTGGAAATTAAACTTTTGTCGGAGCTACTGTTGGAAATGTCATCTCCCATCTGGTTGGCTACCTGTTTGTTTTGTTGTTCATTTCTTTTGCTGTGCAGAAGCTCTTCAGTTTGATATATTCCCATTTATTGATTTTTGCCTTTACCTCCCTTGCCTTTGGGGTCAAGTCCACAAAATGTTCTCTACCACGTAGATTCATAAGTTTGGCACCTATATTTTTTCTATGTGACTTATAGTCTAGGGTCTTATGTCTAAGTCTTTGATCCATTTTGAATTAATTTTTGTACATGGGGATAAAATGCAATCCAGTTTCATTCATTTGCAGTGATATTGAGCATCTTTTTATGTCTCTTGGCCATCTGTATGTTCTCTTTGGAAAAGTGTCTATTCAGGTCCTTGCCCATTTTAAAATTTGATTGTGTTTTTGGTTTTGAGTTCTTTATAAATTTTGGATATTAAATCCTGTATCGGATGTGTCATTGACGAATATGTTCACCCGCAGAACCATTCTTTATATATTATTCTGCACTTTAATATGTTTCTGTTTTTGGAGGTGTTTACTCTTGTTTCTGAGATTTATCTGAGTTTCTATAGGTATAGTGATTTTTTTTTTAATATATTGAATTTTTACAGAGAGGAAGGGGGAGAGATAGAGAGCTAGAAATGTCGATGTGTCATCGACCAGTTGCCTCTTGCACACCCCCTACCGGGGATGTGCCTGCAATCAATGTACATGCCCTTGACCGGAATCGAACCTGGGACCTTTTAGTCCGCAGACCAACGCTCTACCACTGAGCCAAACCGGTTTCGGCGGTATAGTGATTTTTAACATGGTGAAGAGGGACATTGCCATAGAGGCTCCATATGCAAGCGTGTAGAAGTTTTCATACTGTAAATCCTAGGAATAGAATTGATCGATCTAATGGGTAGATGTGGCATTTTCAAATTTATCAGGTTTTTACTAAATTGTTCGCCAAAATCGTTTTAACAACGATATTTTACTAGTACAGGGTGAGTTTTTCAGCTCCATATTCTCTAACAGTTGGTTTTATCAGACTTTTTACTTGCTAACCTGATGGCAGTAATATCTCAATAGTTGTCAAAGTACTAGTGATATTGAGTAGTTTTGAAACAGTATTTATTGGTCATGTAAGTATTATTCTGTGAATTGCCTGCCCATTTTTTAGTGCTGTATTTATATCGTGGAGGCCCTCTTTATCTTGCTTGTATTGTGCAGGAAAGACTTTCTGGAAAAAGTGACCTCTAGAAGTCTTAAAAGATGTTTATGGGTTCATCTGGAAAAAGAAGAGGTATAAGGGATATAGTGGGGAAAGTATACAGGCAAAGGAGGAAACAAGAATATACGCATGGAGGGAGGAGACAGTACCATATGTTCAGGGAACAGAGAACTCTGATGAGGGTAGTGTATGAATGGCGTCTTAGGGGGACAGGGGAGTGGAGTTGAAGAGGAGGAAAGGATCATCCTAGCAGAGGGAACAAGCTGAAAAAGATAAGGTAGTGCAGAAAAAGCAATTTAAGCAAACTGTGTCAATAGTACTTAAGACAGGAATGGAGATTATATTGGTACAAATGGTAAACCTGAAAAAAATAGATTGGAGCCTGACTAGAAAACCATGTACACACACACACACACACACACACACACACACATACACACACACTTGTAAGTATGTGTGTACTTTTAATATGGGAGTAATTTCAAACCACTGATTTCTTTTTTTTTCTTTTTTTAATTTATTTATTTTTTTACATATTTTATTGATTTTCTTTTTTTTTTTTTACCCCCCTCCCTCCCTCCCACACATCCCCTCCCTCCCCAGAGTTTTATGTCCATTGGTTGTACTTATATGCATGTATATAAGTCCTTCGGTTGATCTAATATCTCCCCCAGATCTTCCTCCCCTCCCCACTGTAATTTGACAGTCTGCCTATTGCTTTACTTTCTCTATCTCTCAAACTACTGATTTCTTAAAAGTGTTATATAGTATATTCCACTTATCTGAAGACTTAATAATGTACTATATTTTCAATGAGGTGTCATATGTGAGTGTTTTGGCTGTTTAAACTGTAGCCTTGTTTGTATAAGGTAGAGCACACACCCTCTAATGCTAAAATTTTAGCATAATCCTGTGCACCTAGACCAGTGATTTTTAACTGGTGTGCCAGCAAGAATTTTTAAAACATGCAGTACCTGAATATTTTACTGACCTCATTTCTCTTAGTTTGTCAAATTAAAAAAAAAAAAAATGACAACAGCCAACACAACAATAGCCATCAGTCTGAATGAATCAAAATTACACCTATTTTTGGGTTACATTAGCAAAAAATATATTTTCTGGTATGCTGCAGAATTTCAATAATTAGTTTATTATGTGTGCCAGGAGATGAAAAAGGTTGAAAACAGCCCAGGCTGGGTGGCTCAGTGGGTTGGAGCATTATCCATCCTGTACACCAAAAGGTTGTGAATTCGATCCCCAGTTGGGGCACATATGGGAGGCAATCAAATCGATTCGTATTTCTCTCTCACCTGGATGTTTTGTGTGCTCTTTCTCCCTCCTCAGCCCCCCTTCTACCTCTGAAATCAATTTTAAAAAAATCCTTGGGTGAGATTAAAAAAAAAAAAAAAGAAAAGATTGAAATTTGCTTAGACTATTATACTTTTTATAGTTTAATAAAACTTTATTAACGTCTTTTTATATCTCATGCTAATCAGGTAAGATGTTATAGTTTTATCTTTAATCTTTAAGCCCTAGTACCAAATAAAGGTCAGTTAGTTACAAAATTAATACTAGAGCTACAAAACAAAAATTATATTTTACATTTTGAAGTCTTTATGGAGGACTAACTTCAGAAAAATATTACTCATTTTTTAGCATTTGTGGATCCTTTTGATCATTTTACTAGTGAACTTTTTCTTCTTTTAAGAATAATTAAGAGTCCTAACTTTTCCAGTTCCTAGCATATAGATATCATTGGAGACTGTTTCAGAAAGATAGCCCCCAGATCTACCTGCATCAGAGTCATCCAGAGTGCTTGCTTAAGTGCAAATTCTTAATGCCCTTTTCCTGAACTATTTGGTGTTCTCTATACATTTCACTTTGCTTATTTTGTTCTTTTACCAGACTGCTCTCTGTTCTGTCATCATCACTTTTGAAATCACCACTGTTACGTAGAACTATCTGGTACTAATTGCAGATAGAGCAGTTTTAGTGTAGTGCTTAGGAACATAGACTGTGGATACAAACTATCTTTGTTGGAATCTCATCTTAATCATTTTTCCAAATTTAAAAGCTAGTTAAAAATATTTCTGTGCCCCAGTGACTCTGTTAATGAAATTGGGATAACAAACTTATATCATAGGGCTGTTAAGTATATTAAATTAATTAATATTTGTAAATTCCTTACAATAATGCTTGTACATGGAAAGCACTCAGACATTAACTGCTTTGTGACTTCTCTTTTTCATCCCTTAACAGTTTTGTTCTATAGTAACTGGTATACTTATCTTACCTCTTCCTGTTCAAACTATAAATTATTTGAGGATAAGGTCTACCTTATTAATTTTCATAGTTTTTCTAAGGATTTTGCATAAGTGTTTGATAAATATTTACTGCATAAAATCATAAGAAAATGCGAAAATTGTCAGTATGAGTGTTTTTCAGAGCCTATTTGCTTAGAATAAATTATAATCTAAAATGTTAATATTATCTGTGTTTTATTTCAGGAATTCTAATGAATCATTGCTTGACCAGCACCATTTTACCAGTTGGAATGAGTTATCAGAAATGAGAATAGATCCAACATGTAATAGATGGCTGTTACTCCGTGTTGATTACTTCTTCAAGCCAGTACCTTTTTGATTCCATAGGATCTTTGTCTCTTCATCTTTGAATTCCAATTCCTATTGTTGGCAAATAAAAAGAGTTCATGTAGTTTTTGCTGAAGCTTGAGTCACCATGAGTAGTAGTTTAGGAAAAGAAAAAGACTCTAAAGAGAAAGATCCCAAAGTACCATCCGCCAAGGAAAGAGAAAAAGAGGCAAAAGCCTCTGGAGGTTTTGGGAAAGAGAGCAAAGAAAAAGAACCTAAGACCAAAGGGAAAGATGCCAAAGATGGAAAGAAGGACTCCAGTGCTGCCCAACCAGGGGTGGCTTTTTCAGTTGACAATACGATCAAACGGCCAAATCCAGCACCTGGGACTAGGAAAAAATCCAGCAATGCAGAGGTAATTAAAGAGCTCAACAAATGTCGGGAAGAGAACTCAATGCGTTTGGACTTATCCAAGAGATCTATACACATATTGCCATCATCAATCAAAGAGTTGACTCAATTAACAGAACTTTATTTATATAGCAACAAATTACAGTCCCTCCCAGCAGAAGTGGGCTGTCTAGTAAATCTCATGACACTGGCTCTAAGTGAAAACTCACTTACCAGTTTGCCTGACTCTCTTGATAACTTGAAGAAGCTGCGGATGCTTGATTTACGGCATAATAAACTGCGAGAAATTCCTTCAGTGGTGTATAGGCTAGATTCTCTCACCACTCTTTACCTTCGCTTTAATCGTATAACTACTGTGGAAAAGGACATAAAAAACCTGTCAAAACTCAGCATGCTTAGCATTCGAGAGAACAAAATCAAACAACTACCTGCTGAAATTGGTAAGAGCCTTGGTTTTCTATTATTGTATGTAGCAATAATTGGAGTACTTTTCCATACCAGTAAATATTTGATACTTGCTTAAAAGAATATGGTTTCTAAGTTCTATCTTATCTATGGTTTACTTTAATTACTTAGGTTTAGCAATATTAATAGTGCATGATTTGAGACGTTGTATAGACTCAAGAAAATGAATTTGAAAATAGATGCAATTAGGCCTTTTCCCCACAAACCAAATCTGCTTTCATTTTCTTTGAAGAAAAAGTGAATTTGAAGCAGAAAAAAGATGCTTGCCTGATTTTTTAAGTTGTTGCTTCTTATTTTTAAAGTATTTATATATGTCATTTTACTAGATCCATTAAGGCTACATTTTCCCATTTTCTGACTTTCCCTTCTTTACCTGAAAAATGTTTGTTTAAATTCACATCCCTTTTCTACCTAAGTTACTACAAAAGATTGGCATATCAGGGCAGTATCTGATGAAAATTGAGGAATTTTAAAAGTACTCACATGTTCATTAAAAACAATCCAAGAATACAGAAAAGTAGAAAAATGACATACTAAATGAAACACTGTTAGCAACTTGGTAGATTTCATTCCAGTTTTTTATATAAAGCTAAATTTTACTGAAACAAATGTTTTTAAAAGAATAGTAGTCTAAAAATAGGAAATATATATGTATAAACAAATCAGTAAAAATATTTGTCTTGATAGTCTTAATTATGGAAAAAAATTTTAGAAACATTTGAAATATAATAAACCTTTGACTTAATTTTGGGAAATTGATAAAGGTATTATCTTTGTGGACCCTTTTGATAAATTTTAAAAATAGACATAATTGATTATGCAACCTTTAAAGGAAAATTTTCTTTTGTATGAAAGTCTAGTTTATTCTTAAATAAAAGGTTGGATTAAATATTTTGTTGGTTTGAGCCTTGGTCTTAAAGTGAGCAATAAAGGAAATTTCCTCTTCTTAGGTTCTGCAGCTTTTAGAGATGAAATACTCTGTATTTTAAAATTTTTATCTAGTTTTGAAAAAGATGCAGTGTAAATTTTAGTTATGGTGTAACTACATTTGACTCTAACCAGATATTTAAAATCATAATTTAATTTTGGTTTAATTAAATGTACTTAGAAAAACCCATGGATAGATTTTTCTGAAGCAATAGTTACAAGATGTGGCTCACTTAATGAGATATTAAAGTATTCTCAGGCATTCTAAAGGAAATATTCCTTTCCATGTGTTCCGATGAGAATGTAGCTGTTGAACGACTTCTTATTTTATACTAGATTCAGTCAAAATTTGACCTGTATATATGGTTCATGGTGGAATAGAAATTATAGGCTTTTGGAGAAAGAAATGGTTACTTTTTAATATGGAAAAAATGTTTTTGCTTATCTTTGTTCTTGTTGTTTTGCATATGTTTTATTCTCCATTCTAAAACTTTGGCTTTAATTCATATGAAGTCTCTCTTTAAGCATTTTTTTTTCCCAATAGAGAAATTATGAGATTACTTGGCAATTAAGAACACATTTTAAAAAATAATCGTTTTGGTTGATTTAGACCAAGAGAAAGGGGGAGAGAGAGGGAGAAAGAGAGAGAACGAGCACACGTGCGGAAGAGAAAGAAATATCGATATGTGTGAGGAAAATCGATGGGCTGCTTCCTGCACAACTCCTACCAGGGATCAAGCCTGAAACTGAGCATGTGCCCTGACCAGGAATCAAACCAGTGACCTCTTTGTGCATAATATTTATTATGAGGAATTAGGACGTATAAGACTTAACTTAGATGCATGGATTTGGGGCTGTTCAGTGTTCTGTACATGTGTACTTTAAATACATTATTTCATTAAATTGTATAACCCAAGGAAATAGGTATTTCTCTTCTTATTGTGCCGAAGAAAAAACTGAAAATGTAGAGAGATTAGATAATTTACTCAATGTCATGCAACTAGGAAGTTAGAATATAAACCTAGATCTTACACTACTGTCCCTTCTAGTGTAGAATAGTGGGTCCCACTCTCATAGATTATGATTTAGTGGTCTGGCCAGTCCATGGCATCTGTACTTTTAAAGAATAAGCTGGGTTATTCTATGTGTAGCTGCAATTGAAAGCCATTGCATTAGATTTTTCTTTTTCTTTTTTGAAGTGGGGAGAATATCAGCAGCTTAAGATGTAATTCATATACATACAATTTACAAATTTAAAGTATATAATTCATTGTTTTTTAGCATGTTCACAGAACGGTGCAACCATCACAAACAATTTTTAGAACATTTTCATCACACCAAAAGAAACTGTACCCTTTAGCATTCACCACTCCTATTTTCTCCCAACCCCTTAGCCCTAAGGTAAACATCATCTACTTTCTGTTAATATAGATTTTTCTATTCTGTACATTTCATATAAATGCAATCATACAAAATATGGTCTTGATGATAGGCTTCTTTCACTTAGCATCTTGTTTTCTGCATTCATCCATGTTATAGTATATATTAGTTCTTCATATTCCATAGCATGAATATATTCCATAGCATGAATATACCACATTTTATTTACCCATTCATTACTTATGTTGAACATTTGGGTTGTTTCTACTTTCTAGATACTATGAATACAATTACTATAAACATTTTTGTACACATTTTGTGTTTGGACGTTGTTTTCATTTTTCTTAACATATGTACCTAGAAATGGAATTACTGAGTCATATGATAATTTTATGTTTAATATTTTGAGGAACTACTAGATTGTTTTCCTAAGTGAATGCACCATTTTACATTACCAAGAACAATGTCTGAGGGTTCCAATTTCTCTACATTTTCAATATGCTTGTTATTTTCTTTTTTATTATAGCCATTTATTATAAAGGAAAGACAGAAATAGACCATCCATTACTACTTGCTAACTAAAATCAGCTCTTTTAAGAATGTTTGCAAGATAAGGCCCAGGCACAAAGATGAAGTAAAATGAAAATTTGATATTTTTAAAAGTGTTATACTCATTTCATATTATTTGACAAAACCCATAAGAGAATTTAGAACCCAGAATTTCTGCAAATTATCATTTTGTTAAACTTCCATTTATAAATACTAGATTATCATTGATATATATTGGATTTATAGTATGCATATTAATGAATTTTTATTCTCTTGTTTAATTAAGTATACCACTTTCAATTATGCCATCCAGTTTGCATTCAGCAATATATTTGAGGAATGTGAAGAATTAGAAGTTTTAGAAATATAGTGACATTTAGTCTAAATCATATATTTGAAACTTAACCATTATTTAAGGTTATATTGTGCTACTGACTTATAGGGAAATTATATTAAAACTAGAGGCCAGGTGCACGGATTCGTGCACTGATGAGGCCCTTGGCATGGCCTGCAAAGATTAAGCCAAAACCCACTCTCCAACTTCCCTTGAGGGTCCCAGACTGTGAGAGGGCTCCAGGGTGTGTCCAGCCCATTTTGCCCAGTCCCAATCAGCTGGACCCTAGCAGCAAACTAACCTACCAGTTGGAACATCTGCCCCCTGGTGGTCAGTGCGCGTCATAGCGAAGGTCTAACAGACGGTTGGACACTCAGCATATTAGGCTTTTATTTTACAGCACTTGTTCTCAACCTTTCTAATGCCGCATTAGAAAGGTTGAGAACCACTGTTCTATAGGATCAGAATATTTATCTAAGTATTAATAACATCTTTACTAATGCCCTGTGATTTGATACCAGGGATAAATATTTACATGGGTGAACCTTGGCAGTAAACAGTAAAAGGATACTGAATAGACAGTACATGTAAGCATATGAAGAGCAGAGGTAATATATCAGAGAGTAGCCAAGAAAACTCTGCATTTGGTAATGTTCATTTACTTTTGTGTAAGGCATCTTTTTGTGTTAGATAGATGGAAGCCTTCGTTGTTGTTTTTTTTTTGTAGATGAGTATTCCATTCTGCCTATTACACCTCCTTTCACCATTTGCTACTTTGAAAGAGACTTCATGTACACCAAGAGAGTCAAGAAATCCTGTTTTCAGAGAGAAAACAGTATATAACCATTCCTTACTGCCCGCTCCTGCCCCAACTGGTTTTTTTGAGTTTCGTGTTAGATGATTTAGTAAAAAAAAAAAAAAAAAATTATTATTTTTTGGCCTGGATGGATTAGAATGAGGGCCATCAGATAGTTAGTTTGAATAATTCATCAGTTTAATTCAGGAGATTCTGGACAAGGAAGTTTTATAGAATTTTATTCTTCTAGGAAGGAAATGGTTACTTTTGAAATCAGAAATAAACCCCATCTTTGTCTCTTACAAAATATTCCTACAATTTATTGTCCTTCATTGAATTATGACTTAGTTTAAGATTTCTCCTCTTATTAAAGTTTCCCCCTAATTCATTATTCTTTATAAGAGAGGAGAATGATCTGATATGTTAAAGCATACACTTTTTGAGAACCGAGATTATTGTCTCTCATTTAAAAAATAACTCTCACAGCATTCAGATATATGAGAAAGTAGAATAAGCAATTTTTTTGTACACACTTGACTCAGTAACATTTATTGAAATAAAAATAAATTTTCTATATTACAGTGTTACATTTTATAAGTCAAGTTAGATTTACAACTAATATATAATAAATGCATATATAATTAATATCTATACAAAAATGCAAACAGAATGAGCAGTTCTTTTAAAAGTTGAAGGATCACAGAGATTTTAATTCTCAATTATGTAATTTTCTATGAACTATTATAGATAATAAGTTTTCAATAAATGTGGTTTGAAGTGAATTTAATGAAACCTAGTGTTATTAGTCATTTTTCAATATTAACTCAAATTGTAACCCTTAGTCCCAAAAATTTTCCCAGGACTTTCAGGGGTTATAAAGTTGCTTTCATGTCCAAGTAACATTATTTAATTATTTCATTTGAGTATTTTGTACCAGTGTTAATGACTAACTTAATTTGGCATGAAAAATAAAACAGAAAAGGGAATTCAAAGTTGTTAATAAATAACTCCTTTTGACCAGGATTCAGTATGAAACCTTAGAGACTTAGAAATGAATTGTTGACTTAGTTTATTGTTATCAAATTGTTGGGTCTTTCACTGAACACCAAAAATCTGGAGAAGTTATTATTGATAATGGAGGTAGGAGAAGAACAGGGAAATGAGCACTTGTGCTGAGGAAGGATTTGATAGGCTATCATTGACTTCTGGTACTGCTGATGTGACAGCACACTACACATTCAAAGCAATGTAGACACTGCTACCCATGTTGCTAAGTTGTAGGAGCAGTTAACTGAAAGACTAAGTCATTTTCTTTTTTAGGTATGTTTGAGATACAGTATATTAGTTTCAGGTCTACAGTGTAATGATTTAGTATTTGTAAGATGCCATTTTCAAATAACAGTTTTAGATTTTGTGTTTGACATTTTTTCTGAAAGAGTATAATTATGATAATAGAAAATGAAGTTTTCCTTTAAATATTATTTAATATATTTAATAATTCTTATAAAATTTTTATGTTGACCTATTTACAGGTGAATTATGTAACCTCATTACGCTGGATGTAGCTCACAATCAACTTGAACATCTTCCAAAGGAGATTGGAAACTGCACACAGATAACCAACCTTGACTTGCAGCACAATGAACTGCTAGACCTCCCAGATACTATAGGTATGGTATGAGAGGTGAAAGAAGATATTGATAATTACTTATAGCAACTTGGACATTAAAATACTGTTTTTGATAATAAATATTAAAATATTAGAATTCAACATTGTTAGAGTAGTAAAACTTCTAAAAGATAGTATTTAAAAATCACTATTTCCATGACCTGGCAGAAAAATAATTATATTTTGAGAAATTAGCTCAAATGGATTATAAAGAAAATAGAATATTAAATCATATGTATATATTCTATAGCTCTGTGCTTAAATTGCAGAATGGATGCATTTTCTGTTTTTTGCTGATTTTGCAGTCCATTGTATAGAGTATTGTTCCTTTTTCACTAAAGTAGACCACCCTGAAAAGTAAAACCATTGCTGTTTAGTTTTTAAAACATGGTCAGTATAGTTTAAAGTGTGTTCATCTGTAATATTGAGGGACAAAGAAGAAATGAGCACCTAAAAGCTAAATGCCTGTGATTGGCAGTGAACAGCCTACATTTATACACAGAATCTCAGCAACATTGACTTAGTTGCAATGGCTCAACATTAAAGCAAGCTATGGCTTGATTTCTAGGTTGCAGTTTAGTTTGTGGTTTACCGCTCATTAAAAGAGGTTAGAGGTTGAAACCACTGTAGGGGGTGAATCACACAGTAAGTGCCAGACTTCTGATGTCAGTTTTTTTCTGGTATAAAAGAGTTTTGATATATCATCCTTAGTTTTTTTCACCTCTTTTATTTTTCTGAGAGGAATAGATTTTGGCAAAACATGGATGACTCTTTGAACATGCCACTTTCTCAAGAAAGTGATAACGCCTTTGCAAATGTGAATTTATCAGAATAGCATATTCTCAGACATCACATTTTTAAAAGTTCAGGTTCTTCTACCATACACAATAGTGAAAAAATGTTTAGGAAAATTGAAGGTACTATTTTTGTTTAAATAACCACAAATTTTGGTATTATGTAATGTTATATGGCAATTTCACCATTTTCATTTTGTAATTTTTAAATTCTAGAAACCTATTCTGATTTTGAAAGTGAGAAACTTGTTATTTTGCCTTTGGAAGAGAAGTTTTAGGAATCTGGTTCTGTTTATTGGACTTTTGAGTTGATAAGCATTTACTTTTAGGTTTCAATGATACTTAAAAAAATGGTTAAAATATTGTATTTGTCTATTTTACTGTAAACAGTGATTGAGACATGTCAGTTATTAGAACAGAATTGTGGGGACTTTTTTACTATTAATAAGCCCTTTCCTTGTCTGGCAGATTTTAGAGACCCCTTAATGAATGCTCCAGCCATCTATAATAATAAAAGCATAATATGCTAATTAGACTGGGCAGCCCAGTGGCCTTCCAGATGAAGCTGGGGCTGTGAGGTGCAGAGGGAAGCTGGTACTGGCAGCTGGGGGAAGGAAGGGCCAACTCTTGTATGAATTTCGTTCATTGGTTCTCTAGTTATATTATAGTGGAACAGCTTTCTTCCATAGGGAAAGCATTGCTTATTTTATATAATACCATTAGAAATTTGAAAAATTTTTCTTCAAAATTAAATGTTCGTTTTTACATATAATCAATTGTTCCATGTTGGATCATCTTCACATAGATACAAATGGGGTAACTATTATAAATTTCAAATGTATACTGCTTGATGTTATACAATTAGGCCTTAACTGAAGGTTAATTTATTATTAAAGTATGACAATACTTTCTAATAATTTATTTTATAATTGATTTATAGTGTATTTCATTATTTCTCTAAGACAAGTGGATACAAAAGTGCCTTCACCATCATCCTAAATGGTATAGTGTAGTGTGTTGTTCCTTGGTACTTAAAGTTAAGGATCTTGCTGAAATAATGCTTTATAGTATCATAATTCATAAATATCTAGTGATAGCCTAAGACAGTGAGAGGCTCATCATATATTTTCTTAAGTTCTCTTCTTGTGTATATTCATAGGAAACCTATCCAGTTTAAGTCGTCTTGGTCTGAGATATAACAGACTGTCAGCAATACCCAGATCACTGGCAAAATGCAGTGCACTTGAAGAATTAAATTTAGAGAACAATAACATTTCTACTTTACCAGAGGTAAGTAGAAACAACCTGCTAGATAATAAAGAAGAAACTAGTAAGCTTTTACAGCTGGGTAAATAATTTGATGATTGAGCTTGCCTAAAAAGGAGTATGCTATGGATATATAGCCACCACTAAGATAATAATTCCAAAAAAGAAAGAATAGGTATGATTAAAGGAACATATTAAAAAAAAATTTTTTTTTTTGATGTGCAGAAAAGAGAAATCAAAGTGGTAAGTTAGTGTGCTACATTCCCCTTTAGCACCACGTAAATCTTTTTCATGTCATTTGGAAACTAGCAATAAAAGCTATAACAAAGGAAAAGTCGTATGGCTGGTTTTAAAACTCATTACCCCACATAGTTCAGTTTTTTAAAAAGTTAATGAAGAAAGATGATAAAAGAATGAACTGTATAGAACATACTATTTATTATCAAGATAAAATGGCTGCAACACCCCTGTGACCCAAGTTATTACCTGCTTGTGCAATATTATTTTGCATCTAGCAGCCACTAAAATGTGTTGTTGTTTTTTTTAACATATTAATTTTAATTTGGGTTTGATTGATTCTATTAGAAAAATATTTTTACTTATTTTACTCAGATTAATTGGAAAAGATACTTTAAAAAAATCCTTTTCAACTTGATAATATTTTTACTCTTAACTTCTTTTGCTACATACTATTTTAGCATACCCAGCAATTTGTATGTTTGCTTATGGTTATTCAGCATAAATTATAGTATTCTAACATAGAAAAGAATGGAATAGTGGACTAATTGATTGAGTAAGCTTTTGCAAAGTATTTTTTCAAGTGGCCCTATTTTTTGACGATAGCTAGTTTTTCTGTGGTGTTTGTGTATGTATATTTGAATTAAGAATAAAGATGCTTTGGGTGAATATGTTTCAGATTTATGCTTTGATTTTGAAAGAAGAGTTTAGATGAAGCTATAGGTTTGTAGCAATTAGTTTACATAATAAATATATTAAATTTATTTGTTTCTTAGGGATATAGAAATAAAATAGCACCTATTAATTTAGCTCATTAATCTGGGTATTCGGGATTTCAGAAAGTGGCTTGGTCAGAGTACAGAAATGAGCTTCCCAGAATTGTAGTTTCTACTGTAGTGGGCCAGTGACCACTAAAATTATTATGATATCTCACCTGTGGCAAAGATTATCATTATTAGCAGCAGTTAAAGTGGGATAAGGAATAGAATCCACAGATTGTAGATAGAGCTCTGACAACTAGACTGTCTGGATTTTTGTGTTTCTGAGATATGGTAATTTAAAATGATCAAAATGGGTGAGATTCTCCTGTTTAATGTCATCATCCCCTTTTCTAAAAGTGATTAATATCCATAAGACAAATAATTAGCACATTATTTAGACCTTGTTGGGATGCTTTTTGAGTGTGATTTATGAGTTTAAGTAAGATTGACTGCTTTTACAACTTCACTTTGCCTAAATATAAAGACTAGGTATATATCAAATTTCACAGTGAGAAATTTAAAAATTTATTTATATATTTAGTCTTACTGTCAGTGAAGGGAAACTAATAATTATTGGGTTCCTCTTAGGATACAGAGATTGTGAAAAGTACTTTCATAAATAATATTTTGTGAGTGAAAACAGCAATGATTTATTTTTGATAGAATTACAAAGAGAACAGCTCTCTTCTGTCGGGCTGTGGAAGAAGGGCTGGCCTATTTTCAGGTGGAGAAGCTATGAGAGTTTTGATTGATGTCCAAATATGGGAAAGCATTGAATCTTACTTAAATACAGTACATGTGCTTTGTAAGAGCATATTTCTAATGCAAATATCTAATTAGTTGTGTTTATCATACATACAATAAGGAAGACAAAATCTAGACATTTAAGCTGGGGTAGGCAAGAAAATCAGGAAAATGCTTTCTCGTTGGGGCTTTCATATTGCTGAAAGCAGAACTGACAAAATGATTATATATTTTGCTATTTGAAGACTGAAAACGGGCTAGTTTTAATGTAGACATAAGGAAGAGTAACGTAATGCTTAAGGAATAAGTCTAGGTGCTCTATATGTATTAATGCATTTAAATCTATTATAATCTGAATTTTGGGGGTATTCTTATAAAATAGGTGGGGAAATAAGACGAGAAGTTATGTTTCTGGACAGATTTGTTACATATTTTTCTGGGAATATGGTGAGATATATATTGATTTTCCAATTAAATTACCAAAGGTCACAAAACTGGTAAGTTATTATCTAAGATGGGAACTTAGATGTGTTAGACTATAAAGCAATGATAACCCAAAAGCTTCACCATGTGATCTAAGAATGAAAGATTTGAGAGCTGCCTTCTTGCTGCCCCTTTTCAAATATTCTCAGGTTTGAACATTTTAAAATAGAAGAATGCCAATTCAATAAAGTAATTAGCCTAACAAGAATAACATTTTTGCCATGGGACTCAATAAAACTCCTTTATTTTCAAAATATGATATAGACATTTTTCCTGAATGGACTGCTATACAAAACTTTCTCACCACTCTTATCTGTACTTTTCCTTTTATCTGTGTACACCAGTAGACAAATGTTGAGTAGCTTCTCAACGTTCAGTATAAAGAACAAGTTTCAGTTCACCATATAATTATACCCTTAATTATATAGTTATTTCATTCCTTCAGCTGGCCATGCAAAAAAACTCCCACCTCAAGTGCTGAGTCTTCAGTTTCCTCGTGGTGGACAGCTAACATTTGAGCATTATTTAAAGCACACATACCCATGCACATTTCACACTGCTTGTTTTATCCCTGCTTGGGCTTTTATTTCAGTGTTTTACTTCTCTAAATATTTAACTTTTTTTCTTCCTATAAAATTTATGTCACTCTTAGTCTTCTTCCTGCTTTTCCAGTATTTCTCATCTTTTCTTTCAGTTTAAGTAGAGAAGGGACTTAAAATTTAAGTACTTACTACATGCTAGATGTTGTAAAATTACATATGTATTTTATTTCTTTAAAAAGTCTTTACTGCAACCTATAAAATAAGGCATCATCATTTGCAAATGACTAAAACTAAGGTTCAGAGTAATAACTTGTCCAAATCACAAGCTCCTAAAGGATAGAATAGGATTCAAAAGTATTTTATAGCCTATACCAGTGTTTCTCAGCATTAATGAACATACAGATCACTTGAGAATCTTAGGATTCATATGATTCTGCAAGAGTGTGCTATAAGACTGCATTTTTAACAAGCTCTCAGGAGATGCTGATTTTCTTTTCCTTGAACCAGAATTTGAATAGCAAGAGCCCATCTAATCTGTCTGTCTATCTTTCTATGAGCCTAATGTGCTAATTGTCTGACCATTTGACGGGTTGCTATGACATGCACTGACCATCAGGGGGCAGACCCTCTGACTGATAGGTTAGCTTGCTGTTTGAGTCTGGCCGGGGACTGGTCCCTCCCCAGCCCCAATTATGTACCAGAGGGCTCCCTTAGCCTGGCCTTCATCCTTTTGCAATTTGGGACCCCTTGGGGGATGTCAGAGAGCCAGTTTGGTCCAATCCCAGCAGACTAGGCCAAGGAACCCCAACGGTGCATGAATCCATGCACTGGGCCTCTAGTTCTCAATGTGTTATTATATAGGGTTAGGGTTAGAGTGTGATTTATTTCTCTAAAGAGGGTTCATTCTTAATAGCAGAAATTCTTTTGTAATACTTAAACATCTAACAGGTTACATGGTAGAAGGCTGAAGTAAGGAGATAAGGGGATAGTGGGATTATGTGCTTAATAAATACATACTTGATAGGTGCATATTCCCTCAGAAATTTTACCATGTGGAGAAGCAATCTATACTAATAAAAGGGTAATATGCTAATTAGACCAAGAGTCCTCCTAGGAAAACTTCTGGACAAAGCATGGTGATGGGGCTGAGGCAGAGGCAGTTAGGGGCGATCAGGCTGGTGCAGGGAGGGGGCCAGTTGGGGGTGAGCAGGCCAGTGGGGGGGGCACAGTTGGGGGCAGGCCAGCCAGCAGGGGTTGGGGGGGCAGTTGGGGGCATTTAGGGGTGATCAGGCCAGCAGGCAGAGTGTTTAGGGTGATCAGGCAGACAGGCATGTGAGTGGTTAGGAGCCAGCAGTCCTGGGTTGTGAGAAGGATGTCCCCCAAGGGAAGACATATTGGAGAGGGTGCAGGCTGGGCTGAAGGACACCCCCCTCCTTCCCCCATGCATGAATTTTGTGCACCACTAGTGTATTATATAATACCAGGAAGTATATTCATCTTCTGAATTTAATATTCCTAAAGGGAACCATTAAATTACTAAATAACTGCTTAGTCTATGCCAGGCATTATCTTAATAATATAGAGATAGGTACTTAACAAAGACCTGGAAAGGATTGATCTCAAGCAAATGGCAGGACTGGGACTGACTGATACCAAAGTTTCTGTTCTCTAGAGGTCTCAAATTGGCCACTCATGAAGCACCTCTACCCCACATAGGTATTTTCTTTATAGAGAAATTTAAATACCTTGAGCCAAAGAATAAAAAACAAGATTTCCTATAAGTAAATGAATTTGCTGTTTTTTGCAAAATCTGAAAACCTGACTATATTCATTCCATATTTCTGCAAGGAACAGTTAGCTAAAATTGAGTAGTGACTGTCACTCTCCATGAGGCATCACAGAACAGACCAACTAGTCTCTATCATTTCTTTCCTGCAAGCCCTTTAATCTTTTTACAGTTCTAATTCTTATATTTTATTTCATTTTTTTTTTACAGAGCCTTTTATCAAGTCTTGTGAAACTGAATAGTTTGACCTTAGCTAGAAATTGCTTCCAGTTATACCCAGTAGGTGGTCCATCTCAGTTTTCCACCATTTATTCTCTCAACATGGAACACAATCGGATCAATAAAATTCCATTTGGAATTTTCTCCAGAGCAAAAGTATTAAGTAAGCTGAATATGAAGGTAAGCTGTTTGTAATAGGGAAAAAAAGCTATGTGACTAGCACTTCTACTAATATTTGTTTTCTCTATCAGTGTAGAAACGGGTATTTGCTTCTTGCTGATGGGGTCTAAACTGATAATAAGGATATTTCAGGGCAATTTGTATTAGATAACAAATATCTTAGAACCATGCATACCCTTAGCAGTTTTTGTCCTAAAGAAGATCCTATCAAGTGTTTATAAAAGTGTAAAGGGATATTTACTACAGAGCTTTCTATTTAATTGGTAGCAACTTATTATAGAGATTTCATTTTTTAAAAGTATTGTAGGCATATTTTATTTTATTGTACTTTGCTTCATTATACTTTTCAGATACTGTGTTTTTTTGACAAATTGAAAGTTTGTAGCAACCCTGCATTAAGCAAGTCTGTCCATGCCATTTTCCCAACATTATTTGCTTGCTTCATGTCTCTGAATCAAATTTTGGAAATTCTCGCAATATTTCAAACTTTTAAATGATATTTGATATAGTAATCTGTGATGAGTAACCTTTGTTGTTACTGTTGTAGTTGTTTTGGGGTGCCACACATCACACTCATATAAAACGACAAACTTAATTGATAAATGCTGTGTGTGTGTTCTGACTGCTCCACTGTCCTTCATTCCCTCATCTCTTTCCCACTCCCTATTTCCTAAGAGACAACAATATTGAAATTAAGCCATTTAATAACCTTATAGTGGCCTCTAAGTGTTCAGGTGAAATGAAGAGTTTCATGTCTCTCACTTTAAAATTAAACGCTAGAAAGGAATAAACCTAGTGAGGAAGGCATGTTGAAAGCTGAGATAAGCTGGAAGTTAGGCTCCTTGTGCCAGTTGAGTTGTGACTAGAAACGAAAAGTTCTTGAAGGAAATTAAAAGTGCTACTCCAGTGAAAACATGAATGTTAAGAAAACAAAACAGCCTTATTGCTGATACAGAGAAAGTTTCAGTGGTCTGGATAGATCAAACCACCCACAACATTCCCTAGTAATAAGCCAAAGCCAAATTCAGAGCAAGACCCTAACTCTTCAACTTTGAAGGCTGAGAGAGAGAGGTAGTAGGGAGGCTGCAGAAATTTATGTAATTAATAAAAGCCTAAACGACCATTATGGTGGAACTACCAGAATGACCTGTCGCAATGATGCACACAGACCACCAGGGGGAGCCGCTCAACGCAGGAGCTGCCTCCTGGTGGTCAGTTTGCTCCCATAGGAGAGAGAGCAGCAGTGGTGGTGGGAGCCTCTCCTGCCTCCGTGCCAGGCTAAGGAGCAGCGAGCATAAGGAGCGGCTAGCAGGCGGGCAGTAAGGAGCCAGTGCTCCCGGACTGTGAGGGCGCAGGCCGGGCTGAAAGCCCTCCACCCTTGCCTCACGAATTTTGTGCCTGGGTTTCTAGTCCTTTATGAAAGGAAGAGTTCATTGATGTGGCAAACTTCATTGCTCTTATTTAAAGATATTGCCACAGCCACACCAAGCTTCAGCAGCCATCACCCTTACAATGAACATTTAGGTAAGACCCTCTACTAGCAAAAAGACTATATCACTTGCTGAAGACCCAAATTATGCTTAGCATTTTTAATAGTAAAGTATTTTTAAATTAAGGTATGTACATTGTTTTTTAGACAGAGTGCTATTACACACTTAATAGACTACAGTGTAGTGCAAACAATTTTGTGCACTGGGAAACAAAAAAAATACATGTAACTTATTAAAGCATTACTTGCTTTATTGTGGTAGTCTGGAACCAAACCTTCAATATCTCTCAGGTATGTCTCTGTATCTTCAATAGAACACTATGAAGCTATTAAAAAAATAATACTTTAGTTTAATAGTAATTACCAGTTGAAGCATTCTCAATTTATTAAATATAAAAAGTTAAAGCATGCAGGACTTTCCATACATATATTTTTAAAAGCTGTTTTTAATGTGCTTAATTATATATGAAATATCTATAGATTTATATATATGTATAAGCTAGTGTCGATAACAAATATAGTGTTTATCTTTGAATATCAGAATTATTTATGAGCATCTTTAGTTTCTTTTTGCTTATCCATATTCTCTACAGTGAATGAGTTTTACATTTGTAATAAGGAAAAAGGTTTATTATAAAAGGAGGAAAGAAATGAAAAATGAATTGTTCAGTGATTTAATTTGTAGTGAACAAACTTTAGGGCCAGAGGAGATAGATAAATTGGCCACATAACTAATTCATGGCTGAAATGGGAATTCAGGAAACCTATATTTCAAGCTTAAGTAATAGTGTTCTTTCTTTTGTGTCATAATACATCCTTTTGTCTTTGATGAACCATTTCAACATAATTGTGATTTTTTTTAACTGCAGTCTCAATTCTGTCTATGCTTTTTCATAAATATACTTATTCTTTATGATAATTCTTTGGAAGTATATAATAAATGAACTAGTGGAAATTCAAAATAATCTTACAGTTTTAAGCAGGTATAAAAGTTACTGTTATCCAGTCTGGTTATATGTGGTAATGGCTTTAATCTGATGTTCAGTTTGTAATAAGAGGTTTAGAACACAGTCTACGTAGGTGTTCATTAGTTTTTGCATTTGATTATACTTTTTATGGATATGATGTTAATATGTTAGCTTGAAAAAGCCTGTTGTTTTTTTTTCAGTAAAATTTTGCTTAGAGCTTTGTCTTAATTTTTTTTCAAAATTATAATGGTTTGCAAAAGTTTTTCTTGAAAGAAGGCAAATAAAGCCTGACATTTACTTGCTCATATTAGCACAGTAATAGTTTTTTAAATGATAATGTTTTTATCATTCTATTAACTATCAGTAGTTTGGGTATCAATAGGTCATAAGTTTAAATGCTATTATTAATAGGTAATGAGTTATAATGTAATAAAAGAAAAACTTGGTTTTTAAATGAATGTTTGCTACTTGGGATTTCTCTTATGAATAGTTTTGTGTAAAATAATCATTGTATATTGCAAAAAAAGTTTTTAAATACAGATGAACAAAAAGGACATAAAATGATCCACTAATGAGAGGTAGGATCACTGGTAACATATTGGCATATATCATTGATACCCAACTGGGACTGATGGTCCGCTCTCAATACCAATACCCCCAACATACGACAGTGTGGTAAGAGTTGTCATTGATAAAAATGTGTATAAATGAATATGAGAAAGCAGAAAAAAATAGTGAATCATTGGCATATATTTCACTTATTTTCTGTGTATAGCTATATCTAATTTTTAAAATTAGAATCACACTATTTCATCATTTGTTTTCAGTGATAAATATTTTTTTGTCATCTTTTGGACTTTTAAAGTAAAATTGTGGATACTTAATATTTAATGGTTTAATTTGCTGTCTTATTAAGACTTTTTCCCTCTCGTACTTTATTGCTCAGCATTTCTAGAATTGCTGTGGTTATCTAGTTTCCTTGTAGGCCCTAATTAGATGTTTATTCTTTCATTGTGTTCATGAGCATCCACCTTTTATTCAGTGATTTCTACACATTATTGTAAAATGGGGAAAACATCCACTGGGACCTTTGAAATCTCATGCTGGTTTATATGGTATATTTTTTTCTATAGCCAATACAGATAATCACATAGAGAACAAACTTCCAGTTTTACCTCGAAACAAAAACCTAACTATTGTATGAAAAACTTTGAAGGTTTAGAGTTTTTATTGCTTTTTGTTCTTTCTTTATTTGTTATCAAAAGGGAATAAGTTTTCTGTTTCAGAATTCTCTTTCCATTCGATAGTATATGGAACTTTGTTTTTATGGTTATATTTTAGATGCTTCTTTTTGTCTTTGTTAGGACAATCAGTTGACATCACTTCCCTTGGATTTTGGAACTTGGACCAGTATGGTAGAATTGAATTTAGCCACTAATCAGCTCACAAAGATCCCTGAGGATGTGTCTGGTCTTGTTTCTCTTGAGGTGTGTATAAAAGAGCATTTAGAACTCCTTCAGTCCTACATTACCTCACTTACAAAGTTTCCAATTAAAATAAGCAATTTCTATTTGAAGATCATAATTAGAAATGTTAGGGCTCTCTTAAACATACAAACCCATTAGGATGATGAAGTGTTGACTTAATCTGGTCAGTGCTACTGAATTACTCTTGCCCACTAAAAGTTGGTAGGTTTGAGTGCTGTAAAAGTTTTCTAAGACTTAGCATTTTTAAAAAATAGCATTTTTTAGAACATATTTCCCCCTTAATTGTATAAGAACTCTGCATCATTGTGTATCAAAATAATTATGAATTCCTCAGATTGGCATTTAGAACCTTTTATGCAATTCTGGCCTACTTTTCCATCCTAATTATCTACCTACTCTTTTATTTACTATTTAAATAGATTATTTTCTTTTTTGGAAACACATGCATATTTCTTGCTCTGTATGTTTAGTCTTATTCTTCCCAATATCGAGAATGCCCTCTCCTTATTCCCTTCTTTTTCCTTTTAAAATTCTTTTCTGGAATTAAAGGTCCATCTTATTGTCACCTCCTTAGTCAAGCATGATTTCACCTGCCTGTGAGACCCTACGATTTCCATTCTTTTCATGAGAAAGCTTACTATCAAATACATATTTTAAAATTGTAAAATACATATTTTAATATCCTGGTTTTCTAAAAACATTTTTTCTTTTTATTGTGATTATTTCTAAATATATTTTTATTGATTTCAGAGATGAAGGGCAAGGGAGAGAGGGATAGAAACATCAATGATGAGAGAGAATCATTGATTGGCTGCCTCTTGCATGTACCCGACTGGAGATTGAGCCCACAACCTAGGCACGTGTCCTTGACCAGAATTGAACTTGGGACTTTCAGTTCGTAGGTCGATGTTCTATCCACTGAGCCAAATTGGTTAGGGCTTATTTTTTTTTTTATATTTTATTGATTTTTTACAGAGAGGAAGGGAGAGATATAGAGAGCTAGAAACGTCGATGAGAGAGAAACATCGATCAGCTGCCTCTTGCACACCCCCTACTGGGGATGTGCCCACAATTCAGATACATGCCCGTGTCCGGAATCGAACCTGGGTCCTTTCAGTCTGCAGACTGATGCCCTACCACTGAGCCAAACCGGTTTCGGCGGTTAGGGCTTATTTTATTTTATTTAGTCAGGTGAAAGTATGATATAATGGTTAAAAGAATGAGCTTTGAAGCCAAACAAATCTGAGTACAATTTCACTTTTACTTCTATTTATGGATTTAAACTTCCCAAGTATCATTTTCCTCACCTGTGAAATGGGGATAATATGTAGTATTTTTCTTGTAAGGTTGTAGTTGATACATTCAGTATAGTGCCCTGCAATTAGTAAACTCAGTAAATGATAACTGCTATTATTATTTTCTTGGTCTAATTGTATATGGTTATATTATTGTGGATAGTATAACTTTGAAGGAAATACATTTGCATAAAAAATTAACCAGAACCTTATGTAGATTTTTCCTATTAGTTTCCTTTTCACTATCCCCATACCTAGTGTTGTTTCTCTATATCTATTGTAACATCTCTGAGAACAAGGACTATCTTCTTCAGTATATTGTTGGATATCTTTTTCCCCTCTTCAGTATATTGTTGGATATCTTGCAATGTAAATAAATATACCACAAATAATAACTGGTGGATAGATGTAGGCAGTTTAAGAAGTCAGTTATTACTTTCCTTAAATGATAGCTTGTAAGGGGTTTGAATAAATAACTGGTTTCCTAGTAGACATTTGTAACTATCAGAATACCATTAACTATATGAATCTTGCTATAAGTAGTTAGTAATTGTATATATTTTTAAGTTAATAATTATATACATTTTCAATTTAAAGTTAAATTGTTTTGCTTACTTTAGTTTCGACTTAAATCCATTTTTCCAATAACTATGGTGATTTTTTTTTCTTAGAATAGTAAGTTATTTTTTGTGATTTATTTGAACATTATTCTTACTACTCAGTGTTTAGAAAATTAGCATTGCTTAATAAATTTTAAGCCACATAGTGGTAATGTATGATTCCATTTTATGAGTTGCCAAATACTATCAATAATTTCTTCCTAGGTTCTGATATTATCAAACAATCTTCTAAAGAAGCTTCCCCATGGTCTTGGAAACCTTAGGAAGTTAAGAGAGCTGGATCTAGAGGAGAACAAATTGGAATCCTTGCCAAATGAAATTGCTTATCTTAAGGATTTACAGGTAAAACATTATCCTAATGATTTTATAGTTATACTAGAGGCCTGGTGCACAAAATTCGTACATGGGGTGGGGGGGGGGAGGGCAGTGACCCTCAGTCCAGCCTGCACCTTCTCCAATCTGGGACATCCCTTCTCACAATCCAGAACTGCTGGCTCCCAAGTGCTCATCTGCCTGCCTTCCTGATTGCCACAAACCGGTTCTGCCTGTGAAGTCCTGGTCACCCCTTACTGCCCTCTTCTGTAGGCATGGTCATCCCTAACTGTTCTCCCCTGCAGAGCTGGTCCCCCCAACTGCTCTCCCCTGCAGGTCTGGCGCTCCCCTTCCCCCCAACTACCCTTTCCTGCTGGCCCGGTTGCCCCCAACTTCTCTCCTCTGCTGGCTTGGCCTGGTCACCCCTAACTGCCCTCCCTTGCAGGCTTGTTTGCCCCCAACTGCACTCCCTTGCAGGCCTGGCCCCTCCCAACTGCCCTTCCCTGCTGGCAATCTGTGGCGGCCATCTTATGTCCACATGGAGGCAGCCACCTTGTGTGTTGGAGTGACAGTCAATTTGCATATTACTCTTTTATTAGATAGGATGATTAAAGCTTTTGGATGCATTCCAAATTGCTCATTTTTCTTAAAAATTTGATCTTGGACCAGATAGATTTTCCTATTATAGCTTTAGAGCTGTGTTTTATGTTCATTTAATGTGTTTTCTTTTGTCTTCCCAACAAATGATATTTTTTGAAAGAAAAACTTATTTTTGTCATGTCCACTCTAATTTCTCTGTTTGCTTATGCAATTGGTTTAGTAGATATTTAGTTCTAAATTTACATCAGTTGTTGCAAATATACATGTAACCATCTTTTCTTAAATTGATCTTTCAGAAATTAGTCTTGACAAACAACCAGTTGACCACTCTTCCCAGGGGCATTGGTCACCTTACCAATCTCACACATCTAGGCCTTGGAGAGAACCTGCTTACTCATCTTCCTGAGGAAATTGGTATGAAACCTTTGGATGCTTGATTCTGTACTAATAATTTGCTCCTTCAAGTAGTAGTTTAGATAATTATGTCAAATCTGTTTTTGTTAACTGAGGTTCCAGCAGCCTTAAGGTGTTTTTGTTTTTAGTTTGTGTTTTTAATAAAGCACTAGTAGTTGGTGGGTTGGTTGGTTTTGGTTAGGTTTCTTCATAGGGGGAATATTGTGTTTGAGAAAGTTTTAGCATACTTATGTTCTAATAGGTATAACCTTAATTTCAAAGAGTTATTTCATGTTCTAAATTTAAAAATTACACTTGCTTTAAACTAATAATATCTTTTGCCAAAAGGACATTTCCTTATGAGGTTTTAGAATTAATAATAGTATTTTATTAATATTAATATTTGAGAATACTTTAGAATTTTCCAAGTTTTCTTTAAATATCTATTAACATAACCACCTTGAGTTTGAGGCAGTGCAAGTTGTATTCCCATTTTATGAAAAGAGTTGATTGAAGTCACAAAATAATTTTTAAATTAGTAATTTTATGTATTATGTCTTCCATCTATATCATGCTGTTCCATAGGCACTATAGATTAGTGGTGAAGAATGGTTTTAAAGTAAAATAGGCAACTCAAAATTTGGCTTTATGGCTTTAAATAAAGCCATAAGGCCAAATTTCAAGTTTCCTGCTCGTAAAATAAAGATAATAATAGTAACTTCTCATAGCATCCTCTGAATATTAAATAAACTATTAAGTGTAAACAGATCTATTACTCAGTAGCCATTATTTTTATTCTTCTATATTACCACTATTAAATATCACAAATTTTGAAGTTGAAAAATTGGCAAAACATGAGGCAACTTTACACTTTTATTTCTAGTGTATTTATGCAGCTGGCTTCATGCAGTTGCTGGAAACATTTGCCTAGAAAGTATGAGTATCCTATGTCTAAGAAGAAAATTAAAAATACTATATAAATTGATTTTTGGCTGGCTTTTAAATATGTGATGCCTGATTCTTGTGGTTCAGTGGTTGAGCATCAACCTATGAACCAGGAGATCACAGTTTCATGCCCCTGGCACTGCCTCGGTTGCTGGCTCAGTCCCTAGGAGGGGGTGTGTAGGAGGCAGCCCATCAGTGATTCTCCCTAATCATTGATATATATATCTATCCATCAATCACTCCCTTCTTCCTCCCTCCCTCCCTCCCTCCCCCTCTCTGAAATTAATAAAAATATTTAAAAAATAAATATGTTAATAAATAAATGTTAGTGAAAGATTTATACCAACTAACAAAAACCTTTCCACATGAGAAATTGATATGAGAGATTGTCACATTGTTTACAACAGAAAAATGATTACAGGCACTGACTGTACAATAAACTTATCTCTGGAGTTAATAAACACACACAAAAATCTCTCCAACCTTGAAAACCAGCCAAAAAGGAAGATTCTAATTTAACTGATGTGGAGTGTGACCTGGATATTGGTGTTTTCCACATTTCTTCAGTTGATTTGAACATGCAATAAAGCTTGAGACTCGCAGTTGTAGAGTTTTAAAGTGAGGAGAAAAAAGTAAGAGGAAATTGGTATTTCAGTACATACAATGCTCAGGACAGCATCATGCCATTGCATTTATTTTAGTAGTAACTAATTTTTTAAAAATAGTAATTGATTTTTTTTTTTTAAACAGGTACACTGGAGAACCTAGAGGAACTGTATTTGAATGACAACCCCAACCTGCATAGCCTTCCCTTTGAGCTGGCTCTTTGCAGCAAGCTTTCAATCATGAGTATTGAGAACTGTCCACTCAGTCACCTTCCACCTCAGATTGTTGCTGGGGGTCCTTCTTTCATCATTCAGTTCTTAAAGATGCAGGGTCCATATCGTGCCATGGTCTGATACAAATCTGCTGGTCCCACACACTGTTCACAAATAGACTGCCATTAATGTTTCATATCTATACCTGTGTCTATTTATGTAGATATTGATATATTTGGCAGATTTATAAAGTCTGCATTATGTGTTTCTGCTAATAGAGGAATCATAGCCATTTAGATTTTTTTTAAAATTCTGTACAAAAGGCTTATATAAGTTTTCTTTGCTGAACTTGATGGATGTTTTCCTGTTGTGTAATATGCCAGTTTGCTCAAGACATTTGTATTGAATTTATTAAATTTAAGGGGCAGAGGTAGTACAGTTAGATATACTTTCTCTTAGCAAAAATTATGGGCAAATGATTTTGTTGCAACTTTTCATACACATTTTCCCCTTACCAGTTGTCAGATCTTTTATAGTATTATAGGCCCTGAAGGTAGAATTTTTCTTTAACTTATTTTGAAATTTGAGATTTAAATTTTATATATTGTTTACAGTCAGAGTAAATCACTGGATTTTTTGTTGTTATTGTTTTGATTTGCTCTGTTTTAATCAGTGAAATCTAGAGTTTATATTCTCTGCAAAGAATTTGCATCAGCTGGTTTAAATATAAAAGATATTTGCTCTTTTGAAACAACTGGCAAAGTGAAAAGATAGTCAAAATTCTAGAATTCCTGTAATTGTGATTCTCTGATCAATTGTGAAGCAAAGTATTTGAATTGAGTCTTTTGGTTGGGGGGGAGGAGGGTATTGAGACCTTTTCTAGTATAAATATCTTTTCTTAAGTTTGGGGGAGCAGAAACTTGTACTGCAAAGGAGTTTTCATTCCTAAAAGTTGCAGGTCCACAAAAAATAATAAAAATTTGGCAAAAAAAAATATACACACACATTCTATATATGTATATACAATGCTATATAGATATGTATTTATTATATCATAAACTACAGTAGGTTTCTTTAAGGATTTCTCCCTAGCCTTGTACAATGAAAATGAATGTTTTTCTTTGAACACTGCAATATATGTTTCAAGGTTATTTAACAGTGTACTATGGTTTTATATCTTGACTTGCCTTGTACATCTTTCACTTCTGGAATATCTGCGTCTAAGCACAATATCTTCACACTGTGCTATATTGCTGCTGAACTAAATGCACTTTTCCCCACATGTGGGGCACTGGCTTCAAACAATTCAGTTCAGTACCATTGATTTTAATCTCATCTTTCTTGGTAGTTGTTAATATAGTATGGAAAAGAGGCATATTGCATAGAAGCCATTGGTAGTTCAGTGGGAGTTTTGTAAGATGTGTCTGTGCTCTTTGATGGTTTTTTTTTTTTTTTTTTTTTTTTTTTTTTTGCTTCACTGCTTTTAGTCTGGCAGTGTTGTAAATGCGTGCCCCTTATACAGTACTTTTACTTTTGATAGTGTCACTCTAAGTGAGTAACTATTATGTGTAATTACATATTGCTGCTTAGATTTCTTTTTTTATTTCCATTTAAATGGGCATTGTGTTTTAAAGAAAACCATTTTTGAATTAAGGCCATGATATTAAGATAGAAATTTGGGGCGTTGTTTTGCTTTTCCTGGTGCTCAAAATCAGGACTAAGTTTGAGGTGGAACCTATATTTGTAATTGGCAAATTTTTAAGGAGCAACTAAGAAATGGAAGGCAGGTGAAGATATAAAACCCTAGAATGCTTTAATGTGCTGTAAAATTATTGTAGATGTCACTGGATTTTACCAAGTAATATCCTTTCTTCTTCCCCCCCAATCTACTGTGGCTTTTCAGTTAAAATTTTGTTTATAAAAGAAATTTGTTTATTACAGCTCTACCTAGAGCTTGTGTGTATGTGTGGTTTTTAAAAATGTTATATCCGGGGTGCTTATGTATTATGATGGTGGAACTTGAACTTTAAAGGGAGTAATAACCTAATGACTTTTTTTGGGGAGGGGGGAAGGGAGTATTGTTTCTTTACAATGAAAATAGATACTATTTTTTAAGCATTTTGGTTACCCTACCTTAATTTACTAGTATATTGGTCTATAACAGATACAGAATGATCAAAATCTTACATGTAGAAGTGATGTTATAGGCAAACCATAGATAGCTGAGGAGTTATAAAATTTCTTAAGAAGCATAAAATATATGTTCTGGGTGTGGCTGCCACATTGTAAGAGTCCATGAATTTCATTACTTCTAACAAAAAACTAAAATGAACTCTAATTGGGATATCCTTGTGAAATCAAAATATTTAATATTTAAATTGAATGTAAGGGATATTATTGACTACATGTGAGCTAACACTTTTCCTGAACTGCAGTAGGATTAACTAGCATATCCAAATTTTTTCTCTTAAAGAAAGGGTTTAGTCTTTTTATGAGGCTCAGTAAACTAAAAAAAAAAAAAAAAAGTCAAAGAAGTTACATTGCTCTAAACTGCTTTTTTGTTGATATGTAGGGTAGGGCAAAAGTAGGTTTACAGTTCATATGGAAGATAATACAATAATTAATAAATAATAATACAAGAATAAAATGTTTAATGTACTCACAACTGTAAAAAAATTTTATAAGTATTAAACTACCACAAAAGGACTGTTTGACAGTCGCTGTTTTGATACCTTTGCCCCATCCTGTATAGTATCAAAACAGCAACTGTCAAACAGTCCTTTTGTGGTAGTTTAATACTTATAAAATTCCAAATGATTATTTCATACAGGAAGAAGTGGGGAGATGCTAACTAATTTATAAATTTGAAAGATAACAAATGAAAGCAGTTAAAAGTAAAAATTCTTGAAGGAAAAAAAACACATTTTATTTGTACTTGTATTAAAAGGTGGGTGATGCCATTGGAATGAGTTCTAAAAATGTGATTACATCTAATTTATCAAGTCTGAATCATTAAAAAAATGCACAAACTGTTATACATCACACTTTAGTCTTTCTCTGATAACACTTTTTATAACTTTTCATCTCAGTTATTGCTAAGCCATGTGTATTGAATCCAAATTTCAGCTTGCAGAATTTGTAATTGTTCCTCAATAAAAGTAGGTAGTGGCTTAAATGTATTAAATGGGACACTTTGAAATGGAAAGGGGGTGCTACCAATCATTATATTGGGCCAACAACTGTACATCAGAACTGAATCTGGGAAATCAGGATACGTGGGTACTCTTGCATGAGTAAGATTAAAGGAAGGCAAATGTCACAATCTAAAAATAAGCTGAAGAATAAATTCCTGAAATTTTCAAATTTAAAATGAATAACTTGTAAGGAAAGAAAAGGTTTCCTTTTGCCTATACTAGAGGATAAGGTAGTATACCAATATCTAAAACTTTTTTCTTTATTCTTTTGGTTATTTTGGCCATTGAGAGCCAGTTGGGACAATTGGAAAATGTGACAATATTTTGAGAATTTGAATCTACAAAATTGTGACGTTGATTTGGAATATTCTTAGATTAATAAAGTATGAGAATGTTTAATAAAATAGATACAATATTTGGTTATTGAATAGAATGTCTTCTAAACCTGGTAACACTAACTCTAAGGAAATATTTGGTTTATTTTACACTTTAAAATGTGGTTTTTTTTGCGGGGGGGAGATTTTTAACTTTTAAAACTGAAGTTGTTAGTAACCTTATAGAACTTTATATACTTAATTATCCTGCTAACATTATACATTCTAAACATAAACTTTTTAATGTAAATACTTGTTAGTGTCAGGACTTTACCTTATCCAGATAGTAGTTTATTATGTTTTATGTTGGGGCTTTTCAAAGCTTGGGAGCAGGCAGAGTGTCCATTACTGAAAGCAGTACAGACAAGGCTGTCAGGTGTCGGTCTTGCAAGCTGTGCAGAGCTTATATTTGGGAGGGGCATAATTCGAACATGCATGCACGAGAACTCTGTCTCAAAAATATTACCTTCAAATTAGGCAATGTGAATGTCCAAGTCTTTTTAAAGGTATCATCTGATTGAATATATGGTTACTTTAAATTTTCTTCTTGAGATTAGAGATAAGAATCTGAATGTTTGATTTTTTGTTGTTTTTTTAATTTTTATCAGTGATTTTGAAAAACAATTAGAAAACTTAATTTTAATATATCTTAGGGAGTTTTGTGTGGTTTTTGTTAATCATTACCTGAGGATATTTTACATTTTTAGAGAGAGTGGAAAATAGGAAGATTGGAAGAGAGAGAGAGAGAGAGAGAGAGATATGCTGATAGATTGCCTCCTGCATGAGCCCGACCAGGGCCTGGGATTGAACCTATAACTCAAATACGTGCCCTTAAACAGGAATCAAACCTATGACCCAGTGTGCAGGCTGATGCTCTAACCATTTAGCAACACCCAGCAGGGCTATATCTTAGGGAATTTTAATACAGTGGTGTTTAAGCATCTAAATGTCCAAATTTACTGTGACAGAAGTAACATTCAGAATGCTTGAAAATAGCCTTTTAGTTTCTGAAGTCTAGGCATACCATGTATGTGAGTACATATTTATGAATATGGGAGATAGTCAAAGCATAATGGAGAAAACAAATGAAGTGAACTTGTGTTTTAAATTAGGCAGGTGATTGATTTGTAAAGAAGTTCCTTGTGTTGACTTTGGAGATCATTGTTTTGCTGAATTTTATTACAGATAATATGCCTTGTAAGTAGCACTATTTAGCATAAAATGTTTATCTATAGCTTGTCAAACACTTACTATTGAGGTCACAGTCTAATGGATTTCACATATATTTGAATAATCTACTAAAAAATTAAGAACTGATTTCATTCAGAGCTCAATATTTCTAACCTCCAAACAAAGCACCTCCTGTTACTGCTTAATAAGGCCATCCTGCCGAAACCGGTTTAGCTCAATGGATAGAGCATTGGCCTGCGGACTGAGGGGTCCCGGGTTCGATTCCGGACAAGGGTATGTACCTTGGTTGCGAGCACATCCCCAGTGGGGGTGTGCAAGAGGCAGCTGATCGATGTTTCTGACTCTATCCCTCTCTTTTCCTCTCTGTAAAAAATCAATAAAA